TTCCTCCTCACTTTCTGCCATCAGAGTGGTATTATACGCATATTGGAGGTTATTGATAGTTCTTCCGGCAATCTTAATTCTGGCTTGGGATTCCTCCAGTCCGGCCTTCTGCATGATGTATTCTGCATATAAGTTAAATAAGCAGGGGGACAATATACAGCCTTGTACCCCTTTCCCAATTTTGAACCAATCAGTTATTCCATATCCAGTTCTAACTGTTGCTTCCTGTCCCACGTATAGGTTTCTCAGGAGATAGATAAGGTGATCAGGCACTCCCATTTCTTTAAGGGCTTGCCATAGTTTGTCGTGGTTGACACAGTCAAAGGCTTTTGCCTAGTCAATGAAACAGAAGTAGATGTTTTTCTTGAACTCTCTGGCTTTCTCTATAATCGAGCGCATGTTAGCAATTTGGTGTCTAGTTCCTCTGCCCCTTCAGAATCATGCAGTTTGTTTTTAAAGTGGGTCTTGCAGCTGGCCGCCAGAATATAGAAGTAAATCATTATTCACCATTTGAAACAGGCAAAATGCTTTCTTTAGATATGGTTTCACTGGTCACATCCCCACAAATAATCTGTCACAAGATATATGCATTTAGCTTCTCTCTTGGTCAAGACACTCACACACACACACACGTACGTTTGTACACAAACATACACTCACCTGATGTCCTGGATGGAAAGACAAGTCTGAAGAGGTCGATGTTGCCCATCAACACACGTGTGTAGGCTTCCTAAGGGATGGGGAAGGGGGTGGGGGGTGGGAAGAACAGTGAAATAAAAGGATTATCCTAACTGACAGAAGAGCGCTGGAGGGGTCTCCAGCCCTCTCCTCAAGACCAGAAATCTGTAGCTCATGAATATTCAGCAAAGGACACATGCATGTTTCTTACCTACACACAAGGTGAGTGGCAAGACACACTCAAAACGCAAGATGACATGTATAACTAGCAAGCCACACAGAAATAGGTGGCTGGACTCTAAGAGTACATTCAGAGAGGCATATAGCTCATTATTTGGATCCCTTTGGATGCCATTTGGTTTAAATCAAATTACGGTGTCCACATGCATGGATAACTAAGTGGCTTAGATTTCTGGATCCAAAGGCTGGGAGTTCGATTCTCCACTTGAGCCTCCTGGGAGAAGAGCCAGCCTGGGTGGCCTTGGTCAGGCTGCCCAGTCCCAAGGTTGCCCCTAGAGGAAGGGAAGGGCAAAGCACTTCTCTGAGTATCCTGTACCTAGAAATCCCTGAAAAAGGGTCACCATAAGTCAGAATTTGACTTGATAGCATACCTATCTTGACTCAGAGTGATCCATCCCGCCCCTTTTTTAGAGGTGCCCTGCTCCTTTTTGGCATAGCAGTAGGGCTACAAGAGTCTGGGGTGTTTTTTTTTTTTTACTTTGCATTTCAGAGCACTCCTAATTAGCCTGTACTGTATAGGGCTGTGGGTGGTGTCATCTGAGGTTACAACTCTGTGACACATTTGGTGGATTGCGGCACTTAAATGGGATGACAGAGAACTCCTTCTCCTCTATTTTCATCTACTCTACCGCTTGAAAGTTTTAAATTTATCTTCCGATAGATTCAGTGCTCTTTGAGATAAAAGAAATGCCCACTAGGTACCACCATGTCACTTACTTAATTTAACAAACAAACAAAAAAGGAAAGTCGTTGTGGTCACTGAACAATGGCTCTGGGAAAAGGCACTGCAGGGGTACAAAAGGGAGTATCATTAATCAAAAGGGGGGCACACTGGGGTGATTGAAAGACTGGTCTGGATCCTTCTCACGGGATAAAAAAAGCACTGATCAGTGTGAACAGAGTATGTCTTTTGCTCAAGTGAAAGATAAAATAGACCACAATGAATCCTTTAAGCATGAACCAGACTACTCAACATTCCTCCATCAGAAGGTGGCCTTAATTCCCATCAACCTTGGACGGCCTGATCAATGATGAGGCACAAGGAGAATAGCAGGACATCAACATCTGTAGGGCTGAAGGTTCCTTGCCCTTGAGCAAAATTATAGAAGGAGAACTTTTGACCCTCTAGAATGATATTTTGGACTTCAGCTTCCAGAATCCCTGGTCAGCATGGCTGAGGTCAAATGGACTGTGAGGGATGTACAGTAGTGCCCTACATAACGAGCGATTTGTTTAACGACAAATCCGCATAGCGATGTGTTTTTTGCGATCGCAAAAGCGATCACATTGTGATGTTCCTAATGGCCAAAAATTGCTTAGTGATGATCGGTAAGCGTTTCGCTTACAGATTTTCACATAGCAATTTTTTAACAGCTGATCGGCGGTTCAAAAATGGCCGCTGGGTAAAGAAAATGGCCACCCGCACTGTTTTTGCACCCTTTCCTCGCTTACCGGGCAGTGAAAATGGTGGCTGCATGGAGGATTTCCTCATAACGGTGAGTTTTTTGCCCATAGGAACGCATTAA